TGTGTGCGCTCATCCACTGTTACAGACCAGACCTCATGTAAGTGCAGTATGCCACATGCTGATCCCAACAAAAGCTCTGTGTTATTACGGTGCTATATTTAGAGATGCAGGACTGGAGCACAAACGATGCCGCAGAGAATCAGAGAATAACAAAAATTGAATTGGAAAGGACGTGTATGTCATAGGCCCACGCAGTGTGAGAAGACCGGAGATCAAGCAAAGTTAAAAAGAAAAATGTTTGACGTTTTAAGGTTTTAGTGTTGGTTTGAAAATGAGCTTTGGACTATCATCATAAAAGATGCACTCTCTACTGTAGTTCTTTCCATCATTAAAAATAGAGCCCGGCTGATATATCATTTAGCCGATATGAGCCTGTTGCCGATATATCGGTGTCGGCCAATATGCCGCTGATTTGAAACTTTTTTGTGCTCCATTGTTTGCTACTGGCGACCTGGATGAAACGCTTTAAAGCTTAAGTCTATGGAAAACCATTGAAACTTTGAATGACCATATAACCATAAAGGCGTGGCGAATCCACACCAAATTCGGGGGATCCTTTCAGCTCAAGGAACCCTCTCGAACGCGAATCGATTGTACGTCTCAAGGCCCTCTTTCGAATGAGACAATTGTTAAATGCCCTGCCTCCATTACATATCTTTGTCACGTCATTATAAGTGTTTGACCACCACATTTGAGTGACCATTGCAAAAAACAAGTTTCTTTTTGTTACTGCAAATTTATTGATTATTGTGATCTTAGCTTATCCTACACACATTTTGTATAGGATAAAAAAGAAAAGGAACTGGATGTACTGGGAAAAAGACGAAAGACCAGCCAGGCTGGACAGTCAGAGGATGTAAGGCCATATCTTCCTGGATCAGTAGATGTGTAACATACTGCTTTGTGTATGTACTTGTCTAAATCCATTCATTCCTGTTCTCCAACATCACAGGAAGAGCTGCAGAGGGTTAATCGAGACGACAGGCCCTCTATAGCTACAGCTCTGGCAGAACGTAAAAATGACTCGGCTGCTGCAGTGAACAACAACAATAAAGTGAAGGTGATGGCCACACAGCTGCTAGCGAAGTTTGAGGAGAACGCCCCGACGCAGTCCACCGGACTCAAGCGACAGGTGGGTTAGAATTTGTGTTTGCACAGTTGCTCACTAAAATGACTGTGGACTTTCTATGACATTTGTGGAGTCTTATATAGTAACAAGTGTAATAGAGTCTTCATCAACAATTAATTTTGTAAGCAAAGTTGGCAACAAAATGATTGTTGTTCTGCAATAATGCCTGACTGACTGTACCAGTGTTATTTTATTATGATGTATATACAATTATAATATTTATTAATATTTTGAATTAGCTTTATTTATATTTCCAGTTTTTATGTTATTATATATATATTATTTTAAAGGCATTTATTATTTCTTTTTCATTTTTACTTTATTTTTAAGTAAGAGAGAGTTTAGTTAACAGTAACACTAGATTGTACTTTATCCCTTCAATCTGTGCAAACTACTGTTTAATTTTAAACTTCAGTTAAATAAAAAATTAATCTTTACTTACCAGGAAATAGGCAAAGTACTACATGAACATATGTAGTTACTGTGCCAAACTCAGCTGTCAATTTCAAGTAGTTTTTGGCAGTGTTAGTATATCACGTCGTGAATCAGCATTACTTTTGCAGTGCTATTTGGGTGATTTATTTATGCGGCAAGCATAAAAACCCATATGGTTATACGGTTTGTTTAACCAAGTGGGATGAATCCTCTTCTAAACTGCTGTTACTTACTGCTAGAAGTGCACAGCATGCCGAGATTGTTTGAAATGATCAGTTTTATACAGGAAAATTGACTCAGAATCATGCTGATCCATTCTAATGGAGTAGCCAGCAAGAATGACTGGCATGAGAGAGGACTTGAGAGCTTTTTATAGGAAGCTAAACCCTTCCTGATGCTCTGCATCTGTGTGATGCTGATGTGTTTGACAATGTTACCTACTGGAGCCATGCAAGATAAAGGGTTATCTATACACTACTGTTCAAAAGCTGTTCAAAATTAATACATTTGTTCAGAAAGGATGCAATTTTATTTATTTGTCCTTTATTTAACCAGGTAAAACTTTTTGAGATTAAAAATCTCTTTTACAGAAGTGACCTGGCCAAGATGCAGCACTACATTTCATAAGAAGAACACAAAAACAATGTGTTGACAACTATTAAAAACATTTACAAATGAATTCTTCCTTCAACAGCACATTAATCAAGAATTTAAAATTGTTCATTGACACTAAGTTCTGCAACTTCAAATTGTTTTGTAAAAAGTTCCAATCATTGGGCGCTGCAAACTGAAAAGCTTGTTTTCCAAATTCAGTTCATACAAATGGAACCGAAAGAATGTACAAGTACTGTGAGCACAGAGAATAAGCTCCAAGAGCTTTAGGCTGGGTGAGGGAATAAAGATATGGAGGCAGTAAACCCAAGATGGATTTATAGATAAACGTGTACCAGTGGTTACGTCTGTGTGTTGATAATGACATCCAACCAACTCTATTATACAAATCACAATGATGGGTACTAACATTACAATTTAATATAAATCTGAGTGCACCGTGATACAGAGTGTCCAAAGAACCTAAAAGTTTGGTAGACACCGATTTATACAGAATGTCTCCATAATCAATGACTGGCAAAAATGTGGCAGAAACCAATCTTCTTCTTGCCTCGGATGAAAAGCAGGGTTTATTTCTGTAATAGAACCCAAGCTTTACATTTGGTTTTGTCCTTAATTGATTAATATGGGATTTAAAAGATAAGGAGACATCAAGCATAAAACCGAGATATTTATATTCTGTCACTACATCAATTATAGTACCCTGTAAGGTTTTGAGTGATAGTTGATTTGCCACTTGTTTCTTTGATCTCGAAAATAACATAACTTTAGTTTTAGTCACATTCAAAGTCAGTTTTAGGCCACAAAGCCTTTGTTGCACAACATCAAAAGCACTCTGGAGTAAGGACACCGCTTGGTGTAATTTAGGTGCGCTACAATAAATAGTGTCATCAGCGTAAAAAGGAAAATTAACATGACCAATATTAAAATCAAGATTATTAATATAAATAATAAAAACCAAAAGCCCCAAAACAGATCCCTGAGGAACACCCCTCATAATCTGCAATGGTGCAGATGAATGGCCTTCCATTTGCACACATTGTGTTCTACCCACTAAGTAGCTTTTGAACCAAGAGGTTGTCTCATTTGACATTCCAATTTGTTTCAATCTAGCTTTTAATAAACTTAAATCAACGGTATCGAAAAATGGCTGTAAAGTGTTTACTACAAGTTACAAAAGATTTCAATTTCAAATAAATGGTCTTCTTTGTAACGTTCTATTAATATAAGAATCCTGAATAAAATGTATCTTGCCTTCCACAAAAATATTAAGCGGCACAACTTAAGGAGTATTCAACTGTGACAATAACAGGGAATGTTTCCTGAAGACTGAAATAATGGCTGCTGAAAATTCAGCTTTGTATTAAAATAGAAAAGTTTTGTTTTTCAGCATAATAATATTTAACAATATTTCTGTTTTACTGTATTTTTATTAAATAAATGCAGCCTTGGTGAGCATAAAAGACTTCTCAAAAATTAAAAAAATTCTTACTGACCACAAACTTTTGATAATAAAGTCAAAAGTTACTGACCCCAAACTTTTGAACGGTAGTGTTTTTTTCAGGTGTTCATGGTCTGACTCATGCATGGACTGACTCGTTTGGATGTCTGCTCATTCATCTGTTTCCTTATACTTCCTGCATGAAGTAGTTTCAAACTTAGTCCCTGGTCACATGTTTTTAGTAGTTGTTGTTTTTAAGTTTTATTCATGCATGGCACATTACAGGCCTTTTTTCTGCAGTCAGTTCAGTCATTTACTTTCAGTTTCTCTCTGCATGCCTATCCTTGTTCCCCCCCCCCCCTTCCCGTTCTTTCTCAATTCAATGGATGTTAATGGCTTTGGCACTTCCTCACTTTTCATTGGTCACTTCACCCATCACACGCACGTGCCACTGGTTACAGGGGGACTCCATGCCCGATCTGGGGCTCATACTGACCCCCTCTCCGGCCGCTCCCTCTCTGAAAGAGTCAGTGCGGCTGGCTCCAGTCCCTGCATGGAGGAAGGTAAAGTGTAGTACAATCCCATGTTCCCAGATTCCCATCAACCATTAACACTCTAAGTACCTACTTACCTCTCTACTTATCCATATTTATTATTGTCTTTGTGACTAAATGAACTGTTTTTTTAACTAAGCTTGTTTTGTTGAAATATGTCTTACATGTTAATTTTTCTTCATTTAGTCTTAATGCTGTTTCAAAAGCTAGTTTCTTGTCTGTTCGAGTTGAAGTAGCCTTATAGATTAAAAAAAAAGTTATATTTGACTAAATTAAGTTCAAAAAGATGGAATTGAGGTCTAAAAGAAGTGAATTTTTGCATGAAACCATTCTTTTGTAAATTGACATACTAAAATGGCCTACCCAAAGGTAGTTTTATGAACGATTTACACAGAAATTCATTCTGCTCATGTGTCATGAATTGTTGTATACCTGGGTATTTGTCATTCAGGCATCAACATATATTTTCCCTAAATACTACAAGATACTTAACAGAATATGCTTCCTTTCCTCCTTGTTTTCTTTTGCAAAATAAATATATGCTACTGTTCCAAAGTTTGAGGTCAGTAATAATTAGTTAACACTTTAGAATAAGGAACACTGATTCACTATTAACTACGACTTTTCCCTCAATAAATTCCTAATTTGCTGCTTATTAATAGTAAGGTAGCTGCTAAGTTTAGGTATTGGGTAGGATTAGGGATGTAGAATAAAGCATTAATATGTGCTTAATTAGTACTAATAAATGGCTAATATTCTAGTAATGTGCATGCTAATAAGCAACTAGTTAAGAGGCCCTTAAATAAAGTGTTACCGAATTATAAAATGTTTTGAAAGAATTCTCTAATGCTCACCAAGGCTACATGTATTTGATACAATAAAATAAAAACCGTAATATTGTGAAATATTTTCACAATTTAAAATTACTTTTGTATTTTAATATATTTTAAAATGTGATGGCAGAGCTGAATTTTCAGCAGCCATTACTCCAGTTTTCAGTGTAACATGATCCTTCTAAAAGCATTGTAATTTGCTAATTTGGTGCTTTTTTTTGTTATTATCAATGTATAAAAACAGTTGTGCTGCTTGATATTTATGTGGAAAACATGATCATTTTTTTCAGGATTTTTTATGAATAATAATAAAGATTTATTTATATATTGCCTTTCCAGTGCTCAAGGATGCTTTACAGTAAAGATACAATTTGAAAAGAAAAATCTCAATATAATAAACAAAAATGACAAACACTAATACAAGTGAAAAAATTAGAATGAAAAAAAAATAAAACAGGACGCAAAATATGAATGATAACATTCAGAAAACAAAGGGATGTGGGACATAACTTACAAATGACAACATTCAGATAACTGGTGAGATAACTAGTGATTTAATTCAGAAATATTATTGACACAGCGGAGAGATCGGGGGAGATAATTCCATAGTTTGGGTGCAGCACCGCTGAATGATCTACCCCCCATTGAAACGAGGTGATACAGAGATATACTGAAAAGACCAGAATCAGAGGAGTGTAATGGGCGAGTTGGGTGTAAGGGAGGAGCAGTTCACAGAGATACCGGGGAGCCAGGCTGTGCAACGATTTAAAAGTAAGCAGGAGAATTTTGTATCTAATATACAGAAATATACAGCCAGAAGCCAATGGAGATTGAACAAAATTGGGGTGATGTGGGCAGAGCGCTTGGTGTGGGTGAGTATTCTAGCAGCAGAATTTTGAGTATACTGTAACCTGGAAATTAGAACTTGCAGGTAAACCAGTGAAAAGGGCTATGAATAATAATAAAGATTTATTTATATATTGCCTTTCCAGTGCTCAAGGATGCTTTACAGTAAAGATACAATTTGAAAAGAAAAATCTCAATATAATAAACAAAAATGACAAACACTAATACAAGTGAAAAAATTAGAATGAAAAAAAATAAAACAGGACGCAAAATATGAATGATAACATTCAGAAAACAAAGGGATGTGGGACATAACTTACAAATGACAACATTCAGATAACAGGTGAGATAACTAGTGATTTAATTCAGAAATATTATTGACACAGCGGAGAGATCGGGGGAGATAATTCCATAGTTTGGGTGCAGCACCGCTGAATGATCTACCCCCCATTGAAACGAGGTGATACAGAGATATACTGAAAAGACCAGAATCAGAGGAGTGTAATGGGCGAGTTGGGTGTAAGCGAGGAGCAGTTCACAGAGATACCGGGGAGCCAGGCTGTGCAACGATTTAAAAGTAAGCAGGAGAATTTTGTATCTAATATACAGAAATATACAGCCAGAAGCCAATGGAGATTGAACAAAATTGGGGTGATGTGGGCAGAGCGCTTGGTGTGGGTGAGTATTCTAGCAGCAGAATTTTGAGTATACTGTAACCTGGAAATTAGAACTTGCAGGTAAACCAGTGATTAATATGTGCTTAATTAGTACTAATAAATGGCTAATATTCTAGTAATGTGCATGCTAATAAGCAACTAGTTAAGAGGCCCTTAAATAAAGTGTTACCGAATTATAAAATGTTTTGAAAGAATTCTCTAATGCTCACCAAGGCTACATGTATTTGATACAATAAAATAAAAACCGTAATATTGTGAAATATTTTCACAATTTAAAATTACTTTTGTATTTTAATATATTTTAAAATGTGATGGCAGAGCTGAATTTTCAGCAGCCATTACTCCAGTTTTCAGTGTAACATGATCCTTCTAAAAGCATTGTAATTTGCTAATTTGGTGCTTTTTTTTGTTATTATCAATGTATAAAAACAGTTGTGCTGCTTGATATTTATGTGGAAAACATGATCATTTTTTTCAGGATTTTTTATGAATAATAATAAAGATTTATTTATATATTGCCTTTCCAGTGCTCAAGGATGCTTTACAGTAAAGATACAATTTGAAAAGAAAAATCTCAATATAATAAACAAAAATGACAAACACTAATACAAGTGAAAAAATTAGAATGAAAAAAAAATAAAACAGGACGCAAAATATGAATGATAACATTCAGAAAACAAAGGGATGTGGGACATAACTTACAAATGACAACATTCAGATAACAGGTGAGATAACTAGTGATTTAATTCAGAAATATTATTGACACAGCGGAGAGATCGGGGGAGATAATTCCATAGTTTGGGTGCAGCACCGCTGAATGATCTACCCCCCATTGAAACGAGGTGATACAGAGATATACTGAAAAGACCAGAATCAGAGGAGTGTAATGGGCGAGTTGGGTGTAAGGGAGGAGCAGTTCACAGAGATACCGGGGAGCCAGGCTGTGCAACGATTTAAAAGTAAGCAGGAGAATTTTGTATCTAATATACAGAAATATACAGCCAGAAGCCAATGGAGATTGAACAAAATTGGGGTGATGTGGGCAGAGCGCTTGGTGTGGGTGAGTATTCTAGCAGCAGAATTTTGAGTATACTGTAACCTGGAAATTAGAACTTGCAGGTAAACCAGTGAAAAGGGCATTGCAATAATCAAGGATGGATGATACAAAAGCATGAATAATGGTTTCAGCATCTTTGACATTAAAGAGCAGGTCATATGGTATTTTAAAGTGTCCTAATATTGTGTTGGAATCCCCTACAACTGGTTTAAATGCATCTAAGGTCAGAAAACAGAAAATATTAGAGTCATTTGCCAATGATTTCGAAACGATTCGTTCCAAGCAAGTTCAGAGCAAACCCCTCCCTTCCATTAGCCTACTCTTCTCTGATTGGTCAGCTGGCCAAGCCTGTTGTGATTGGCACAGAGAGGAGTCCTTGAGCATTTTTTGATTAACAACTTTGCAGATTGTTTTCATTTAAGGATAGCTACGTTATAAACTGCAAAAGAGATATTTTTCAAAAACCAATATGACCTGCTCTTTAATGAAACGATGGAGCTGGGCAATGTGACGTAATTGAAAGAATGCTGATTTGGTGACAGAGTTACAATGAGCCTGAAAGGAGAGAGATGAATCGAAAATAACCACAATAGAAAGTAAAAAAAAAAAGCAGCATTTATTTGAAACAGAAACATGTAACATTATAAATGTCTTTACTGTCTCATTTCATCAATTAAATGCATCCTTGCTGATTACAGGTAATCTATAAGTAAATAAATTCATTCATTCATTCATTACTGACCCAAAAAGTTTTGAATGGAATGCAGCTTTTACTCTTCTCTAAGGTCTTATTACTGGGTTTATTAAAGGGGTCATATGATGCTTTTTTAACGATCATTATTTTGTGTATTTGGTGTAACAGAATATGTTGACATGCTTTAATGTTCAAAAAACACATTATTTTTCAAATACTGTACATTGTTGTAGGTTCTCTATGCCGCGCCTCTCTCAAACGCTTCGTTTTCTACAAAGTCCCTCCTTCCGACAAGCGCAGTCTGCTCTGATTGGCCAGCTGACCCAGTGCATTGTGATTGGCCGAACACTGCAAGCACTCGTCGCAATTGTAACGCCCCCTTACCATAATCGCGAGCTTCATCTTTCAAAATAAATGTAAAGACAGAGCCCGAAAGGGGAACAGAGTCTCGTAACAGACACAGTGATGAAGCTGTATGTGTTTGCAGCACACAAGCCACACTTAAGACAGCTGACTCCACTGGGATGTGTCTCGCTCTCTCTCTCTCTCTCTCGCGCATGCACACACACACACATGATGCGCAATACTCCGCATTTGAACAGTCAATAGCAAATACTTAAACTAATAACAAAACAGTAGCTGATTCAGAAGCGCCAGATTGTCATAGCAAAGTTAGAATTACCTCCTCTCCTAGGTTCACGAAACGGTCGTCCATAAAATGCATTGCTGTTCTGTTGTAAGTAATCTTAAAGATTCCTAAATGCATCTACTTTTGGAAGGCCAAATAAAGTGCTTTTGCTTTCATCTAGAAACACACAGCGTCTCCCTGACATGCTGCATCAACACTAACTGCTGTTCCTGAAACCACGCCGCCTTTCTTTGCGTGCACATTTTGGCGGCATTATGCAAATATTTCCACATAGTGAGGTAGATATGTGGGGGCGTGTTAGAACCATTTTAGTTAGTCTTAACTTTGATAAAGAATATCTCTTTGGTTTTGAGACTTTAGTCTTTGCAACTTCAGGGATCTTATCTATGCACAATCAGCTTGTAACACTCCGAAGAGAAAGGAAAACTTGAAATTGCATCATATGACCCCTTTAATATGAGTTGGCGAGCTAAGTGTGTTTCTGTTTGTTTTAATGAGAGAACTGTTATGAACATGTGCTTGTGCGTGAGTGAGAGGAAAACGTGGCACTTGAATTCATGTTTTCTGTGTGTGTTCAGAGGCGCACACAGTTACAGGAGCAGATGAGTTTTCGCTATAAGGAAAGACTGAAGTGTCAAACTCTCCCCATCAAACAGGAGCAGGTACACAGCTGTAGAAAAGACCTGCTTATACTTCTACAATATAGTGTCTCCTTTGTCCTTCCTTGTGTAGTATACAAGAAGATAGTCCCATGAGGTGATCATTTAGTCCCCTGTGTACTGTTGTTGTTAGTTTCCTGTTTGACGTGCTCATGCATTGGAGACCTAGAGGCATATCTTTCCACACTGTGCTTCGGTGCTCTTTGTTTGCGTTTCCAGTTTGATTGAGACAAATGAGCTGAATGCTTTGCTTATTGTTCTCAGATTGTAGAGGTTCAGATGTGGTTTTGATAGCTTTGTTAGACATTCCTTGTGCATGGGAGGTCTGTGTATGTGTGTGTGTGTTAAGTGTCACTAAAATCACTGGGTTTGATTATCAGCTGTGTTTTTCTGCTTCTAATGGGACACTGTTCTCTAACACAACGCGCCTATCTGTCATCACTACAGTTGTGTTTGTGTGTAGTAGGTGATTGGATGTTTGGATGGTATTATCAGGTTTTTTTAATCTGAGTGTGTGTGAGGTTTTTGTATTTGTGTAATTTTATGTGAACGGGTTTCTCCTCTCTTGTCTCTCTGAAGGCCAGCAGCGGGACTGAGGTTTTGAGGAGCTGCCCTAAGAAAACCATTCTCCTTTCTTCTTCCTCACCCTCATCTTCCTCATTCTCTTCATCGTTTCTTCCACATGCACAGGTGACACTCTCCTGTCTTCCTGTACTAACCTCAGCATCTCTCACAGGGGCTGGTTATAACAGAACGTCTCCTCTTGCAGTCTCTTGAGATGAGGTTTTTGTAGGTTTTTAGACTTTATGGCGCAGAGCTGTTTGTCTTGATCAGTGTATTGATCAATCCTCCTGGCGTATTCATGGCAACGTCCATGTACAGTAAATCAGCAATAAAAAATATATTTTTTTTATACTTCAATGGTTTGAACTCTGCAAACAATTGTATAAAAACCACATAGAAAACAATAACGATAAACTTATTGTTAAATATTGGTAAGCTTCAAATACCTTTACAAGTACATGTAAAGAAAAAAAAAGAAAATAATATTTTGACTTCATATATTCATTCAGAATTGTTTTTATAACTTCATGCTCTAGGCATGATTCTGGCTCATATCAGTCGCAAAAATAAAATAAAACAAATATGCTGATTTTGTGCTGATTTATCAATATTTTTGTGTAAACCATGATACATTATTTTTTCAGAATCTTTAGATGAAAAGTTCAAAAGAAGAACATTTATTTTAAATAGAAATCTTTAAGACATTATAAATGTCTTTAGTGTCATTTTCAATCTTTGATCAATTTAATGAGTTATTAAATGTAGTTTATCTAGATGTTTTCAGACATTTTTTTTCTTTGTTTTAATATTTGTAGCTGTGGTTAAACACGTTTATCATTCAGTCAGGCTTGTCAGTTTTGGAAGTATGTGGTTTTGCACATCCCTACACATGACCAATTTACCCAAACTTGAAATGGAATATTTCGTACAGGTTTGGAAACCAAAAAAAATTATTTTATAGTGTTTGATAAAGTTGAAATTGTATTTTGGTTAGCATCATTTTAATGAAAATACTGGAATGGGCCACCATGCTTTTGTTGCATTTTTGTTTCAGAAATATGGGGCTGTTACCCTTCTAGTTTTGATTGTTAGTTTAGTCTGAGATCTTCTAGCTAATGATAGGGTGGAACTGATTTATGTCTGTTCTCTACAGCATAATGTTAACCAGTCAGAGATAAACAAGTGACCATGACAACTGCATGGGGCTTTTCTTAAAACTTTGCCAGATAATCTTTTGAAGATTTGTAACTTCCATTTCATCTTCGTGAACATGCATGCATTTGTGTTTGGAGAACTACAGTTAACTTCAGTAAATTTGTGGAATAAACATGTTATATTTTAACCATGTGTAATTTCAATATATTTATTAGCTTTCAGAATTAAAACTACAAAAACTTGCTGCAGCAGTGACATCAAAAGCCAGAAGACTAATTCACCATGGATTCCCTCGAGTTTTTCCTATGGGATTTTAATTGGGAGTTTTTTAAGTTATGAGTAAAACAAGGTCTGTGGTAAATATAAATTGATGATACTTGGACTTTTGCTCTACAACATAAATGTGTACAGTTTACATTGAACAACAATATGTCCAAGTAAAAAAAGTTATTTTTTTTACCACAGACCATATTTTACTCATGAATTGAAAAACCCCATAGGAAAATTTCAAGAGGACCCGTGACGTCAAAAGCCAGAAGACTAATTCACCATGGATTCCCTCGAGTTTTTCCTATGGGATTTTAATTGGGAGTTTTTTAAGTTATGAGTAAAACAAGGTCTGTGGTAAATATAAATTGATGATACTTGGACTTTTGCTCTACAACATAAATGTGTACAGTTTACATTGAACAACAATATGTCCATTGTACCACAGTGATTGTACCACAGACCATATTTTACTCATGAATTGAAAAACCCCATAGGAAAATTTCAAGAGGACCCGTGACAAATTAGTCATCACAGCTGCAACACTCTACAATACGACATCCAGAGGAGATTTCTAACCCAAGTAATAGTTTCATCAGCCTTTCCATTTACAGGAAGATAACCTGCCTAATGTGGACAAGCCAGAGCCCATACATATCCCTAGCATTCAAGAGCGAGTGGACACTCTAGTCGCTAGGTTTAAAGGCAAGCCTGACAGGAAGGACAAGCCACAGGTAGAGCAATTGAAGAGATAACAGCATGCTCTTAAAGGGATAGTACACCCAAAAATGAAAATTCTGTCATCATTTACTCACCCTCAAGTTAATCCAAACCTGTATGACTTTTTGTCTTCTGTTGAACACAAAATAAGATATTTTGGTAACTAAACAGTTGCTGGTGGAGTAAATGACAGATTTTTCATTTTTGGGTGAACTATCTCTTTAACTAACAGATGATGGACAATATCAGACAGCTTGGTCAAGACCAGGTTAAAGACAATAATGACGCCAAGTCTTGAGTCGTGGCCTTGACTTGTCTTGAACTTAAGTTATATTTTTCTTGCTTTGTGAAGGTTACGAAAAAGCCATCACGGTTCTTTGAGCAGTGGCTTTTGACCCACAGCCTCAGTCCTGAGCAACCCTTCTACCCTTCTGACCCCCAGCATCAGGTAGCCTTGCCTGAGCATGGAGAGATATGCATGGACGTCTCGTCTGTACCTTAAACACACAGTTCCTCTAACCAATGATGGTTTGAATGCTTTATACGTAACTCTACACAACTAAAAAGGTTTTTCCTAATGGATTTTATTCACAGTATTGCAGAAAACGGTGATATTCCTTGTGCTAACACCATGACTTAAGACTGCATCTCTCTCACAGCAGAGGGAGGTTTTGCGTTCTGATGATCACGTGCCTTTACACATTCCCAGCATTCAGGAGAGAACCGAGAGGTTAGCCTCTCAGTTTAAAGACAAACCAGCAAAGCCAAAGGTGAACTCTCAGCACTGGCTGTCCTTGAATACACACTTTTTTCCATGCACAGCCTTAAACCGTTGATGCATTTTAGCAGTTAAGCAGTCTTTTGGCCTTATAACACAGATTTGGCAAAAAACACTCCTTAAGTGTGGTAAAATCACTGTAACATGGCCTCTTGTGGCTTATTGCTTTTATAAATAATCAATCGTTTTGGAAGCAGCAATATACACCACCTTTCAAAAGTTTAGGGTTGGTACTTTTTATGTTTTTGAAAGAAGTCTATCGTGCGCACTAAGGCTACATTTGTTCAAAATACAGTATAACAGTAATATTGTGAAATATCATTCCAATTTTTCTATTTGAATATATTTTAAAATGTAATTTATTCCTGTGATGGCAAAGCTGAATTTTCAGCATCATTACTCCAGCCTTCAGTGTCACATGATCCTTCAGAAATCATTCTAATATGCTGATTTTCTGCTCAAGAAATTGTAATTATTATCAGTGTTGAAGTGTGTAAATTGTACACTTGCTGTTGACTTCTAATTTTCTTTCTGCCTGTCTACCTGCTGTTCCCGTCGTCTTTCCTTTACATCCCTCATCTCTCTCTCTATGTCCCTCTTTCTGTCTTTACGTCTTTCTAAGAAAAAGGCGCCAGACTTCTTCACAGAGCAGTGGTACAGAGCGCGTGATGCCAGCTCTTTTAGCCCTCTGCACTCTCCCAGCTCTTTCCGGCAGGTAGCAGTGATGCATCTAATGACTGCTGTGTTCTTGAGTCGTGTGTGGGCATGGATGTGTTTTCAAACACACTCCGTTAATAGGTTCTGTGAAAAAAAAATTTCTGAGGTGTCTCTCTCCAGGCTTACATGTGTGTAACCAGATGTATGTATCAGTATGTGAAGCTGAGAATGTTGAAATACAACAAAAATGGACTAGTACTGTATGTTGCCAAACATTTTAACACAGCTGTAAGCTGGATGTGACTTATATTCATGAGCTGCAAAAAGGAAACTAATCTGCATGTTCATGCAACATTGAAATTTTGAATTGAATTTGAATTGAACATGCTTCAAGCGTGATTGTTAAAGCCCAGGGTGAGTTTTTCAGGAGGTGCTGATAAATAGGTTTGCATCTTCAAGTATGTTTAAAAGTGTAATTTTATGTTGAAGGTTTTTATTTGAATTAACAGTTTTCCTTGGTACAACTTGACTGCTTCGTTTCGAATTGCTGAATTACACCTTGTGCCTTCTCTCGTCTACACAAATAACCATGCAAGAAAATTAGTCATCACAGCTGCAACACTCTACAATACGACATCCAGAGGAGATTTCTAACCCAAGTAATAGTTTCATCAGCCTTTCCATTTACAGGAAGATAACCTGCCTAATGTGGACAAGCCAGAGCCCATACATATCCCTAGCATTCAAGAGCGAGTGGACACTCTAGTCGCTAGGTTTAAAGGCAAGCCTGACAGGAAGGACAAGCCACAGGTAGAGCAATTGAAGAGATAACAGCATGCTCTTAAAGGGATAGTACACCCAAAAATGAAAATTCTGTCATCATTTACTCACCCTCAAGTTAATCCAAACCTGTATGACTTTTTGTCTTCTGTTGAACACAAAATAAGATATTTTGGTAACTAAACAGTTGCTGGTGGAGTAAATGACAGATTTTTCATTTTTGGGTGAACTATCTCTTTAACTAACAGATGATGGACAATATCAGACAGCTTGGTCAAGACCAGGTTAAAGACAATAATGACGCCAAGTCTTGAGTCGTGGCCTTGACTTGTCTTGAACTTAAGTTATATTTTTCTTGCTTTGTGAAGGTTACGAAAAAGCCATCACGGTTCTTTGAGCAGTGGCTTTTGACCCACAGCCTCAGTCCTGAGCAACCCTTCTACCCTTCTGACCCCCAGCATCAGGTAGCCTTGCCTGAGCATGGAGAGATATGCATGGACGTCTCGTCTGTACCTTAAACACACAGTTCCTCTAACCAATGATGGTTTGAATGCTTTATACGTAACTCTACACAACTAAAAAGGTTTTTCCTAATGGATTTTATTCACAGTATTGCAGAAAACGGTGATATTCCTTGTGCTAACACCATGACTTAAGACTGCATCTCTCTCACAGCAGAGGGAGGTTTTGCGTTCTGATGATCACGTGCCTTTACACATTCCCAGCATTCAGGAGAGAACCGAGAGGTTAGCCTCTCAGTTTAAAGACAAACCAGCAAAGCCAAAGGTGAACTCTCAGCACTGGCTGTCCTTGAATACACACTTTTTTCCATGCACAGCCTTAAACCGTTGATGCATTTTAGCAGTTAAGCAGTCTTTTGGCCTTATAACACAGATTTGGCAAAAAACACTCCTTAAGTGTGGTAAAATCACTGTAACATGGCCTCTTGTGGCTTATTGCTTTTATAAATAATCAATCGTTTTGGAAGCAGCAATATACACCACCTTTCAAAAGTTTAGGGTTGGTACTTTTTATGTTTTTGAAAGAAGTCTATCGTGCGCACTAAGGCTACATTTGTTCAAAATACAGTATAACAGTAATATTGTGAAATATCATTCCAATTTTTCTATTTGAATATATTTTAAAATGTAATTTATTCCTGTGATGGCAAAGCTGAATTTTCAGCATCATTACTCCAGCCTTCAGTGTCACATGATCCTTCAGAAATCATTCTAATATGCTGATTTTCTGCTCAAGAAATTGTAATTATTATCAGTGTTGAAGTGTGTAAATTGTACACTTGCTGTTGACTTCTAATTTTCTTTCTGCCTGTCTACCTGCTGTTCCCGTCGTCTTTCCTTTACATCCCTCATCTCTCTCTCTATGTCCCTCTTTCTGTCTTTACGTCTTTCTAAGAAAAAGGCGCCAGACTTCTTCACAGAGCAGTGGTACAGAGCGCGTGATGCCAGCTCTTTTAGCCCTCTGCACTCTCCCAGCTCTTTCCGGCAGGTAGCAGTGATGCATCTAATGACTGCTGTGTTCTTGAGTCGTGTGTGGGCATGGATGTGTTTTCAAACACACTCCGTTAATAGGTTCTGTGAAAAAAAATTTTCTGAGGTGTCTCTCTCCAGGCTTACATGTGTGTAACCAGATGTATGTATCAGTATGTGAAGCTGAGAATGTTGAAATGCTTGAGTCGTGTGTGGGCATGGATGTGTTTTCAAACACACTCCGTTAATAGGTTCTGTGAAAAAAAAATTTCTGAGGTGTCTCTCTCCAGGCTTACATGTGTGTAACCAGATGTATGTATCAGTATGTGAAGCTGAGAATGTTGAAATACAACAAAAATGGACTAGTACTGTATGTTGCCAAACATTTTAACACAGCTGTAAGCTGGATGTGACTTATATTCATGAGCTGCAAAAAGGAAACTAATCTGCATGTTCATGCAACATTGAAATTTTGAATTGAATTTGAATTGAACATGCTTCAAGCGTGATTGTTAAAGCCCAGGGTGAGTTTTTCAGGAGGTGCTGATAAATAGGTTTGCATCTTCAAGTATGTTTAAAAGTGTAATTTTATGTTGAAGGTTTTTATTTGAATTAACAGTTTTCCTTGGTACAACTTGACTGCTTCGTTTCGAATTGCTGAATTACACCTTGTGCCTTCTCTCGTCTACACAAATAACCATGCAAGAAAAAACTTTTTTTATTTTTAATTCTTCATGACCCTGAAACACTTATACTACCATTCAAAATTTTGGGTTTAGTAAGATATATGTATTTTATGTTTTGAAAGAAGTCCCTTATGCTCTCCAAGGCTGCTGTTATTTGGCCAAAATCATGATATAGTAATATTGTGAAATATTATTACAGTTTAAAATAACAATAATAAAAAATTATAATAATATTTAAATAGAATAATTTCTTTTAAATATGTATTTAAACTTTTAATTTATTTTTCAGTGATGGCAAAGCTGAATTTTCAGCAGCCAATTCTCCAGTTTTCAGTGTCATATGATCCTTCAGAAATCGTTCTAATGTACTGATTTGGTGCTTTAGAAACATTTCTTATTATCAATGTTGAAAAATGGTTGTAATGCTTAATATTTTTGTGTAAACCATAATGAATTTTTTCAGGATCTTTTAATGAATAGAAAGTTCACATAACAATTTATATTTGTTTATTTATATATCTTCACTGTCACTTCTGATCAGTTTAATGCATCCTTGCTAAATAATTTATTTTTTTTATTTTTTATAAATGAATCTTACTGACCCCAAACTTCTGAAAGTTAGTGTATGTTTGCGTCTTAAAGTATGTCATGATGTAAAACTGTAATTTTAGGCTGAAAGTTTTATTTCAATTAACAGTTTTCCATGTTGCCTGTTTCTCACAACTTGCCTGCCTCATTACGTTTTAGCACTTTGAATTGCTTCGAGCTGAATTACACCTTGTGCCTTCTATCATCTACACAAATAACCATGCAAGAACATCTGTATTGAACATTTACTTATTTAAATTTTTCATAGTCTTGAAAATTGCCACGGCATCCCACTCAGTTTTCAACCATTTATGCTTTTAAAAAACTTTTTTGTTCTGTTCACCACCTGTAGCACTATGTAAAGGTGTACACAGGGGGTGTGAGCTCACTGGCTGAGCAAATAGCCAATCAGCTTCAGGCTAAGGACGACCCCAGGCCCTTGCTTGAGAAAAGGGATTTGGTAAGAATTATGAGTGTTGTGGTATTAGCGTACGCAAATGAGACTGCATAGCTCATTTTTGCTTTGGTACATGGCTAACTTGTAGTATTGAGTATAACTCTCTGTGATCACAATGCATATGCCATGATTCAGTGCACTGATAACTGGATCAAGACACAGCAGCAACAACAACTGGACAAGAATGCCACCTCTACGAGATTCAATATAAGGCTAAAAAGTTGGTCTGTTTCAGCTTTAAAACCATGTACCCTTAAACTGCAACAGTTTTTGTTCCAAACGAAAGGATGTGAGAAAGGTTCACTGTGTCGATGCTGAGCTACAGATGAAACTGTGAACTGGATTTATTTTCTCGTCTGTAAAATACTATAGCATGTTTTCGTTATTTGTTGTTTATTTATTTAGAATTATTTTAGAATTGGTAAATTATTTTTTATAATTTCTAAAATGTTTCTCAATATTTTATTTTTATAATTTCTATTTCTATAACCATTTTTAATTATTTAATTTTTAAGGATGTAGTGTCAATATAAGTATACTCAGTTGTGTTGATTTACACAGATTTGATTAGTTTTATTTTCGTGTCTTTGGTAACTTGACTCTGCCATGCACCAGACTTTACACAAGAGATGGACATTCAGCTCCTCGAAGCACAAAAGTTCGTAAATTATTTTGGTGCATGCTGTCTTTCTTGACAGCTTTCTAAGCGTTTAGGTGCCACTCCTTGCTCTCATTAAAAAAAAAGACCTGAACTAGCATGACTCGCTTCTATGTCTTTCTCTCTGCAGGGTTCCTTGCGGAAGGAGTTCCCTCAGAATATCGGAGGCAGTGATGTGTGTTTTTTCTGTCGGAAGCGCGTCTACGTGATGGAGCGTCTCAGCGCAGAGGGAAAGTTTTTCCATCGCAGCTGCTTCAAGTGCGACTACTGCGGCACCACCCTCCGCCTGTCCTCCTACGCCTTCGATGTTGAGGACGGTATGAAATCCATGCAGAATTAAAATCCCTCCTGATTATATTATTCATACTGTAGCTACTTATAAGTTACCTTTATTTTTTTCTACGTGTAATTTTTTAAAATTGTTTTTTAACTATTGGCTATTTTTAATCTCTTTAATTTCCTGCTTCCTCATCGTTTTCTGTCATGAGATGTGCTTTGTTTCCAACACAGTGGGATATTGTTGTTTGAGACAGAGGGACCATTTCTCTTCTTCATCAACCATTCTTTATTAACTATGAGCTGTTCTGTAACCTCCCACATGGCGTAGTTACAGATGTGCATGTTAGGCGGAAATCAACCACATTTGTTGAATTTCGCATTTTGATAAATCACCTCATTTGGGTTTTCTCCGATTTATGTCTGGAAACCGATGCTAATGGAGTACATTTGTGTGTGTTTTCGCTCTTGTAGGGAAGTTTTACTGTAAACCACACTACTGCTACCGACTTTCTGGTCTGGCACAGAGAAAGCGGCCTGCGCCTGCTGCTCCCGCTCCAGTAAATGCAAAGGTTCTGACTTCTTTAGTCTCTGAGTTTGGGGAAAAATCTTTTTTTATCAGAGTTTTTCTTCTGACACTGTATTCCCAGGCTGTACAGTCTATTTGATCATTTTTTTAATGCATTTTTTTAATAAATTTTTTTAATAATGTAATAACAAAAAAAGGCTAATAAAACAAAAAAACAAACAAAAAAACCTTGCTCTCTCCCCAAACACAGATGCTAAAGAAGTCATTACCTTGGGGTTTACGGGAGCAGCAGCAGCAGGCGCAGGCCGTTTTCTCTGTGCCAGACCAGAAAGTCGGTAGCAGTAGTGTGGTTTACAGTAAAACTTCCCTACAAGAGCAAAAACACACACAAATGAACTCCATTAGCATCTGTTTCAGGACATAAATCGGAGAAAACCTCAAATGAAGTGATTTATCAAATGCGAAATGCAACAAATGTGGTTGATTTCCGCCTAACGTGTATATGTGTGACTACACCACGTGGGAGTGTACAAAATGGCTCATAGTTAATAAAGAATCGTTGATGTAGAGAAACGGTCCCTCTGTCTCATACAACTATATCCCACTGTGTTGGTCACAAAGCATCTCATGACAGCAAACTATGAGCAAGCAGGAAATTAAAGAAACTACATACATTAATCAAAACAGCTCTATAGAGTATTCATATTAAAGGGTTAGTTCACCCAAAAACTCACCCTCAACTCGTTTCAAACCCGTAAGACCTTCGTTCATCTTCGGAACACAAATTCAGATATTTTTGATGGAATCTGAGAGTTCTCTGACCCTGCATTGACAGCAGCACAACTGAAATGTTCCCAGACCCAGAAACGTAGTAAGGACATCGATAAAACTGTCCATGTGACATCAGTGGCCCAACTTCAATTTCTCTGAATTTCTCTCAACTCTCAGATTCCATCAAAAATATCTGAATTTGTGTTCCGAAGATGAACGAAGGTCTTACGGGTTTGAAACGAGTTGAGGGTGAGTTTTTGGGTGAACTAACCCTTTAATATGAATACTCTATAGAGCTGTTTTGATTAATGTATGTAGTTTCTTTAATTTCCTGCTTGCTCATAGTTTGCTGTCATGAGATGCTTTGTGACCAACACAGTGGGATATAGTTGTATGAGACAGAGGGACCGTTTCTCTACATCAACGATTCTTTATTAACTATGAGCCATTTTGTACACTCCCACGTGGTGTAGTCACACATATACACGTTAGGCGGAAATCAACCACATTTGTTGCATTTCGCATTTGATAAATCACTTCATTTGAGGTTTTCTCCGATTTATGTCCTGAAACAGATGCTAATGGAGTTCATTTGTGTGTGTTTTTGCTCTTGTAGGGAAGTTTTACTGTAAACCACACTACTGCTACCGACTTTCTGGTCTGGCACAGAGAAAGCGGCCTGCGCCTGCTGCTCCCGCTCCAGTAAATGCAAAGGTTCTTACTTCTTTAGTCTCTGAGTTTGGGGAAAAATCTTTTTTTATCAGAGTTTTTCTTCTGACACTGTATTCCCAGGCTGTGCAGTCTATTTGATCATTTTTTTAATGCTGTAATAACAAAAAAAGGCTAATATATTATGGCGTAGTTACAGATGTGCATGTTAGGCGGAAATCAACCACATTTGTTGAATTTCGCATTTTGATAAATCACCTCATTTGGGTTTTCTCCGATTTATGTCTGGAAACCGATGCTAATGGAGTACATTTGTGTGTGTTTTCGCTCTTGTAGGGAAGTTTTACTGTAAACCACACTACTGCTACCGACTTTCTGGTCTGGCACAGAGAAAGCGGCCTGCGCCTGCTGCTCCCGCTCCAGTAAATGCAAAGGTTCTGACTTCTTTAGTCTCTGAGTTTGGGGAAAAATCTTTTTTTATCAGAGTTTTTCTTCTGACACTGTATTCCCAGGCTGTACAGTCTATTTGATCATTTTTTTAATGCATTTTTTTAATAATGTAATAACAAAAAAAGGCTAATATATTCAGACATTTTTTGTTGTGGTCCTAGGAGCCCCAGATGTTGGCGGTAACCCCCAACACAGTGGATGCCCCAGGCCAAGCCATAACTTCTCAGGCCCCTGTGGAACGCCGGCCCTCAGGTACCCGCCTTTCCTCTTTAGGCCCCGTTCTGTGCCTCTCTCGTGGAGTAGGGGGCACCCTGCGCGCGTTGCGACGAGCAATGTCTTGGACCCGCCACCAGGTGGCGCACAATCCCTTAGATTCTCCTTATCTCTCGTGGAGTAGGGGGCACCCTGCGCGCGTTGCGACGAGCAATGTCTTGGACCCGCCATCAGGTGGCGCACAATCCCTTAGATTCTCCTTTCCTCCTTGCATACTGCGTTTATCTGCTCTCCTGCTTTACTCTCAACATCCTGCTCAATATTCTCTAGCATGACCCGCTTCCAGCCTCTGAGCTCATCGGGGCACTTCCTGCTCGCACATGCTGTGATATAGAGTGATATTTTGCTTATTTTGTGTATCCCTGATGATGTCACAAATGATTAACTCATTGTAAATCAGTTGGATGTATAGAATATGTATATTATTCTGAGTGGTGCAGCCTAATTAAATTTCTTTTTTTGATTGAGTAAAACATCCAGGCAAAAAGGCATATCAATTAAGTGTTAACTACTGTTAATTAATTAAATACATAATGTAGAGCTTTTAAAATGTTTGAAGTGGCTTAGAAATATCTTAAGGTATATCAAGATAACATATTAAGTGTAATAATAATTAACCTTTTTTGCCTGCATGTGTTATGAATATTCTTTATTTATTGCCTGTTTTTGTTACTCTCCTTTCTGTCCTTCCACTGTATATATTAGTGCCTTTAAGTTTCTGATCTGTGCGCCTTTTGTAACGTAGTGCTCGTATCAGTGCTTGTGATTGGTGGACTCTGTAAGCTTTACCTTTCCCCTCTCCTATCAGAGCAGCTTGTTGCTGAGCTAGTGCCTGCATCTGTGCCTGTGATTGGTCTACACTCCCATCAGTCCTTGCATCTCTGTCCCAGTGTTTGTTCACCTCTTAATTCTCCTCTGCATAGTACTAACACCACTGCTTGTGGCGCCCTTCATGTGTGTATCACTGAGAATGATTTACAATACAAACCTTCCGGTGAGTTCGTGCTACTAGGGTGAAAAATATAAAGTGTAAATAGTTATAGTGATTTTTTTGAGACGTTTTAGCAACATTAATATATTAATCATAGAATTAGTCATAGAGATTTTAGAGGTTTGAATCTCATAAATAATTTTTTTAGTTACATTTCACCTAAAAATAAGAAAATAGAAATTATGTTTTGCGTAAAGAAAATAAAACTTATTTTTAGGACTGTTAAGATGTTTTGCATTATTTTCTTTTGTTCGTTTAATGCCAAAAAATATAATTTGTATTACTGTTATGTCTAAGAAAATAAGAAAATGGCATCATTATTATTGTATCATCTGACCTGTTTATTTATATTTTTTATTGCAGTGCTAAAAGTTATATATAGTTATGGTTTACAGTAGACTTAGACTTTATAGAATTGGCCTAAAAACAGACTTCAATTTCTTCATGCAAAATATAATTTCTTTCATACTTTTAGATTGTGGGGTAAATATGGCTGAAAAATAAAAAAATATGAAAGGTCTACCCTAGTACAATGTGTGAGAATAAGAATATTATATTATTTATTTCCTTTATTTTTAGTATTCCTTTAGCTTTTGGGTGAGAAGATCAGATTAGTCTGAAATCATGCATCAAGTGAACACGACACACTATTTTATTCATGGGGTCTGTCACTATATAATCACTATATGAGGCATATTCGTTATTCAGTGAGCTCTGAATACATCGGTTATAATTCGTTTACGGGTGATGAGTTTTTTCAATCGATTCTTTTTTTTATGGATTGCATGCTTCATTCCTCTAACCATTTCCACCATCACAGTCATGTTTTTATTGTTTAATTACATGCACAAAATGTTCTCACTGGCTTGATTTGGGGTTTGGGATTTGCTTCACTGAATAGACGTATTAGTCATACACATGTCCACCGGTTCATTAATGTTAAAAAAGTTCATTAATATTAAAACAAAATTCTTTATCTGATATGCTTTAATAGGAAGGGAAAAAGGCAAGGTAACCATAACTTGTATTTATTATTGAAGGATATATTATTTAAGAATATTTTACTGACAACAGGGTATTTAAATCTTTTAAAATCTAGAATATATGTGTAGTCATAAAGGCCAAATATTGCTTGTGTAAATAAAGTTAAAGAGTTATCACTTTGACTGTGTTTGTCTTATTTGTCTGAGTGGAAATGAATCCATATGCAATCATTTGTTTCCTTGAAAAACAGCCTTAAAAGAAGGTAGGGTGGGTGGACTGTAGATATGAATTATATGAAATATTTATTATAATAAACGTAGTCTTTATACATCTCTGTATTGACACCTAATGCTTTTAGCTTTAACTAAATCAAGAATTTATTAATTATATTATGCAAAAATTATGCTAATTGCTACCATGGCACCCCTGCATAACACCCGTGAGCCACTTTCTATCTGTTACATATGATCTGTTTACATGTATGACATTTTCTCTTTTCTCCTCCTTTTCTGTCCATCACAGTGACAGAGGTGAACGGGGTGACAGAGCCCAGCGTGGCCAAACGTCTTAAAGGGACTCCTGAAAGGATCGAGCTGGAGAACTACCGTCTCTCTATGATGAGAGAGGAGGAGCTGCAGGAGGTGCCCGAGGAGACGCTGGCCGAGCACAACCTCAGCAGTGTGCTGGACAAAGCCACCGACATTGAGGAGGGATCCAGGTATCTCCCTCATATTTATATCATGTTGGTTATGCTGTTCTAGTGTGTTGCTATGCAGTCTCTATCATGCGAGCACCAATAATTAATTATCAGTCATTTTCAATCATTACATAATATAATTCAATCTGTGCTTGTTCATTAGTAGTACTTAGTAGTACTTTACTAACATAGTTCTGCTGTAATTAAAATGTGTGACAAAAGTGTTTACATTTTCCACGCTCTTTTGTTCCCATTTCACATGATAGAAATGAGTTAGGAAATATTTTTTTTTATTGCAGAAGCCAAAATTTATTTAAATTTGTCATATTGTCATTTTGTTCAAGAAAAGTGACTTGAAGTAACAAGGACTGGTGTCCTAGATCAGTGTTTCTCAACCAGTGGTCCGTGGTCCCCTAGTGGTCCTTGACATAAGGCCAGGGGGACAGTATGAATTTTTGTATAAATTTTGTATATTTTGACATGACATGTTCCCATGAAAGAAAATTCCAATATAGCTGATGATATGGCCAAATACTGGACAAGTCAGCTAACTTGAATTATTCTTGACTGCATTTGGTCCTCACAAAGGCACAAATGATACGAGTCAATTTTGTTCTGGGGGTCCTTGAGGATGGTTCTGAATTGGACTGGGGTCCGGTACGCCAAATGGTTGAGATTCACTGTCCTAGACTACTTTGAAGCTCATAATTTGAGGACACAGTGTTGCCATTACTTTCTACCTGTTGAATTTCAAATGTTCTGGCTTGGAATCAAAACTTTTAAATAATGCAGGCAAGTGTCCTAAAGTGAACATGAAATCAAAATAGTTTCTTAATACTAATTTCTGGTCTTATTTAACCCGCTCCAGTAAATGCAAAGGTTCTTACTTCTTTAGTCTCTGAGTTTGGGGAAAAATCTTTTTTTATCAGAGTTTTTCTTCTGACACTGTATTCCCAGGCTGTGCAGTCTATTTGATCATTTTTTTAATGCTGTAATAACAAAAAAAGGCTAATATATTCAGACATTTTTTGTTGTGGTCCTAGGAGCCCCAGATGTTGGCGGTAACCCCCAACACAGTGGATGCCCCAGGCCAAGCCATAACTTCTCAGGCCCCTGTGGAACGCCGGCCCTCAGGTACCCGCCTTTCCTCTTTAGGCCCCGTTCTGTGCCTCTCTCGTGGAGTAGGGGGCACCCTGCGCGCGTTGCGACGAGCAATGTCTTGGACCCGCCATCAGGTGGCGCACAATCCCTTAGATTCTCCTTTCCTCCTTGCATACTGCGTTTATCTGCTCTCCTGCTTTACTCTCAACATCCTGCTCAATATTCTCTAGCATGACCCGCTTCCAGCCTCTGAGCTCATCGGGGCACTTCCTGCTCGCACATGCTGTGATATAGAGTGATATTTTGCTTATTTTGTGTATCCCTGATGATGTCACAAATGATTAACTCATTGTAAATCAGTTGGATGTATAGAATATGTATATTATTCTGAGTGGTGCAGCCTAATTAAATTTCTTTTTTTGATTGAGTAAAACATCCAGGCAAAAAGGCATATCAATTAAGTGTTAACTACTGTTAATTAATTAAATACATAATGTAGAGCTTTTAAAATGTTTGAAGTGGCTTAGAAATATCTTAAGGTATATCAAGATAACATATTAAGTGTAATAATAATTAACCTTTTTTGCCTGCATGTGTTATGAATATTCTTTATTTATTGCCTGTTTTTGTTACTCTCCTTTCTGTCCTTCCACTGTATATATTAGTGCCTTTAAGTTTCTGATCTGTGCGCCTTTTGTAACGTAGTGCTCGTATCAATGCTTGTGATTGGTGGACTCTGTAAGCTTTACCTTTCCCCTCTCCTATCAGAGCAGCTTGTTGCTGAGCTAGTGCCTGCATCTGTGCCTGTGATTGGTCTACACTCCCATCAGTCCTTGCATCTCTGTCCCAGTGTTTGTTCACCTCTTAATTCTCCTCTGCATAGTACTAACACCACTGCTTGTGGCGCCCTTCATGTGTGTATCACTGAGAATGATTTACAATACAAACCTTCCGGTGAGTTCGTGCTACTAGGGTGAAAAATATAAAGTGTAAATAGTTATAGTGATTTTTTTGAGACGTTTTAGCAACATTAATATATTAATCATAGAATTAGTCATAGAGATTTTAGAGGTTTGAATCTCATAAATAATTTTTTTAGTTACATTTCACCTAAAAATAAGAAAATAGAAATTATGTTTTGCGTAAAGAAAATAAAACTTATTTTTAGGACTGTTAAGATGTTTTGCATTATTTTCTTTTGTTCGTTTAATGCCAAAAAATATAATTTGTATTACTGTTATGTCTAAGAAAATAAGAAAATGGCATCATTATTATTGTATCATCTGACCTGTTTATTTATATTTTTTATTGCAGTGCTAAAAGTTATATATAGTTATGGTTTACAGTAGACTTAGACTTTATAGAATTGGCCTAAAAACAGACTTCAATTTCTTCATGCAAAATATAATTTCTTTCATACTTTTAGATTGTGGGGTAAATATGGCTGAAAAATAAAAAAATATGAAAGGTCTACCCTAGTACAATGTGTGAGAATAAGAATATTATATTATTTATTTCCTTTATTTTTAGTATTCCTTTAGCTTTTGGGTGAGAAGATCAGATTAGTCTGAAATCATGCATCAAGTGAACACGACACACTATTTTATTCATGGGGTCTGTCACTATATAATCACTATATGAGGCATATTCGTTATTCAGTGAGCTCTGAATACATCGGTTATAATTCGTTTACGGGTGATGAGTTTTTTCAATCGATTCTTTTTTTTATGGATTGCATGCTTCATTCCTCTAACCATTTCCACCATCACAGTCATGTTTTTATTGTTTAATTACATGCACAAAATGTTCTCACTGGCTTGATTTGGGGTTTGGGATTTGCTTCACTGAATAGACGTATTAGTCATACACATGTCCACCGGTTCATTAATGTTAAAAAAGTTCATTAATATTAAAACAAAATTCTTTATCTGATATGCTTTAATAGGAAGGGAAAAAGGCAAGGTAACCATAACTTGTATTTATTATTGAAGGATATATTATTTAAGAATATTTTACTGACAACAGGGTATTTAAATCTTTTAAAATCTAGAATATATGTGTAGTCATAAAGGCCAAATATTGCTTGTGTAAATAAAGTTAAAGAGTTATCACTTTGACTGTGTTTGTCTTATTTGTCTGAGTGGAAATGAATCCATATGCAATCATTTGTTTCCTTGAAAAACAGCCTTAAAAGAAGGTAGGGTGGGTGGACTGTAGATATGAATTATATGAAATATTTATTATAATAAACGTAGTCTTTATACATCTCTGTATTGACACCTAATGCTTTTAGCTTTAACTAAATCAAGAATTTATTAATTATATTATGCAAAAATTATGCTAATTGCTACCATGGCACCCCTGCATAACACCCGTGAGCCACTTTCTATCTGTTACATATGATCTGTTTACATGTATGACATTTTCTCTTTTCTCCTCCTTTTCTGTCCATCACAGTGACAGAGGTGAACGGGGTGACAGAGCCCAGCGTGGCCAAACGTCTTAAAGGGACTCCTGAAAGGATCGAGCTGGAGAACTACCGTCTCTCTATGATGAGAGAGGAGGAGCTGCAGGAGGTGCCCGAGGAGACGCTGGCCGAGCACAACCTCAGCAGTGTGCTGGACAAAGCCACCGACATTGAGGAGGGATCCAGGTATCTCCCTCATATTTATATCATGTTGGTTATGCTGTTCTAGTGTGTTGCTATGCAGTCTCTATCATGCGAGCACCAATAATTAATTATCAGTCATTTTCAATCATTACATAATATAATTCAATCTGTGCTTGTTCATTAGTAGTACTTAGTAGTACTTTACTAACATAGTTCTGCTGTAATTAAAATGTGTGACAAAAGTGTTTACATTTTCCACGCTCTTTTGTTCCCATTTCACATGATAGAAATGAGTTAGGAAATATTTTTTTTTATTGCAGAAGCCAAAATTTATTTAAATTTGTCATATTGTCATTTTGTTCAAGAAAAGTGACTTGAAGTAACAAGGACTGGTGTCCTAGATCAGTGTTTCTCAACCAGTGGTCCGTGGTCCCCTAGTGGTCCTTGACATAAGGCCAGGGGGACAGTATGAATTTTTGTATAAATTTTGTATATTTTGACATGACATGTTCCCATGAAAGAAAATTCCAATATAGCTGATGATATGGCCAAATACTGGACAAGTCAGCTAACTTGAATTATTCTTGACTGCATTTGGTCCTCACAAAGGCACAAATGATACGAGTCAATTTTGTTCTGGGGGTCCTTGAGGATGGTTCTGAATTGGACTGGGGTCCGGTACGCCAAATGGTTGAGATTCACTGTCCTAGACTACTTTGAAGCTCATAATTTGAGGACACAGTGTTGCCATTACTTTCTACCTGTTGAATTTCAAATGTTCTGGCTTGGAATCAAAACTTTTAAATAATGCAGGCAAGTGTCCTAAAGTGAACATGAAATCAAAATAGTTTCTTAATACTAATTTCTGGTCTTATTTAACAAACTTCTTATACAACACCTGCCATTCCATTCTATAACTGTCTTCACTAATCTTGTTATTTCAAAATTTTAGTAAGATTTATTTTTCAGTTTTTTTTTTTTACGCAATTAATTGTTTTATTTAGCAAGGATGCAGTAAATTGATCAAATGTGACCATAAAAAAATTTACATAAAAAAAATCATCTATCTTAACTTTCTATTCATTACAGAACCTCAAAAATATTTCCGCAAAAATATTAAGCAGCACAACTGTTGAGCACTAACTCGGCATTAGAATGATTGCTGAAGGATCGTGTGACACTGAAGACGGGAGTAATGACAGCAGAAAATTCAGCTTTCTATTAAAATTTAAAACTACACTTTTCTATTTGAATAGCATTTCACATTATTATTGCCTTTCTGTATTTTTAATACAATAAATCCAGCCTTGGTGAGATTAAGAGACAAGAGACTTCTTTCAAAAATACTTAAAAATTGTACCGACCCCAAACTTTTGAACTGTAGTGTTGATAACTTGCTTTGAGTGTTTATTTGGGACTAAAAAGAGCAATCAGGGGTCATTTGGTGATTTTTACACACTTATCCATCCCTGCAGCAGCTCAGAGTCTGATATGGAGGAAGAGGATGAAGAACCGGAAGCGGCCGGCCCGTCCGATCTGGGTGGGGTTCCCTGGAAAGAGGCGGTGGAGCTCCACGCTAAACTAAAAGGAGAAAGCGACCCTGGCGCAGCAGAAGACGACGATGGCCTTCATGATGGAGATGGAGAGATGGACGAGGATGAAGAGGAGGAAGATGAGGAGGAGGAGGAAGAAGAGGAATCGAGTGATGGTAAGCATCGCCTCAGTGCTGTGGCTTCATTGTGCTTGTGAGGGTGATCAAAATGTCTCGACACAATGAATAATGGATGTAGATGGATGTCCTGGACAGAATGGCCTGTTTGATGGCGGTTCATTTGATTTTAGAAGGCAAACTTGAAGTAGATTATATTCTTTTTCTTTTTAGAAGATCATTTTAAAGGAATAGAAAGACTGTATTGTGTTTGCTTTGCAGAGTCTTATTTCCTCTGTCCACTTCATATCATCTTTATGTATGTGGTGTCTAGCTCCCCTGATTAGATATTATATGTTCACCAGGGTTGTCTGCTGTCTCATATTCACAGAGAACTTCTGAAATTACATTTTCTCTTTGAGTAAGACTTTTTCTGATGAAAAATGTAAGACAAAAGATTTCCCAAGAGATTGCTCTAACCCCAGAGCTTCAGCCCCTGCCCTGATATATAATTTCTTTACACTGATATGTCTCATCAGTGAGACGCTGAATCATTCAGCGATTCTAAACTTGTTTATACTAATGTGCTACTGTTACTCGCCTTTTCAACCTTCTGCATTTTCAGATGTTTGCGGCATCTCTGGCAAATCAACTAGTTTTCCTTTTCCAACCCTGTGTGTTGTATTTCTCCTTTATAAAAAAAGAACATTTTATAACTTTCTTTGACACAAAACTATTTTACAGGGTGAAATCTAACAAATAGCTAAGGTAAAAATTTGTGAAGAACCTTTGAAATTTTGAATTTTTTTAATTATGGAACACCTGCCACCCCATCAGAATCAAGGACTGTACAATGCCATGGTGTAATATTTTTTTAGGCAACAATATATAGTACTTTTTGGTACTTGTATTATACTGTTATATTAAATAATTCCAAAGATTTGCCATTTTTTGTCAGTTAATTTTTTTAATTCGATAAAATAAATAAATATTCACCAAAATAATTAAATGGCCCAAATTATTCAATCAGTATACTGCCAAAATCCAAAAGTCTATACTGTAGCTGATACTACTGTTGAAGTCCTCAGTACTTTGGTCTCTGAATGCTATTGGAGGTTTCTCGTTCTGTGTGTCATCCTGTACTGTGATGATATAATCCCCCCCCCCATCTTTTGCCTGTCTCTTGTCTCCTCTGCTCTGTCTTTTCCATCACTGTGTGTCTGTGTATGTGTATGTGTGTGTGCTGGGGTAATTGTATGGGATGACAGCGGGAGAGTATTTCCCCTGGGGCAGGGAGCTTCAGTCAGGTCTTTGGTTGGAAAATCTCGCAAATGAAGAGGATACGGGTGTATTTAAAGGTAGTGATGCCTGTGGATGCATTTGGCTTTAGCACACGCCGATACCTCATAGCTTCATCAGTAACTGAAGAGTTATTGAGCTAACACAATTTGCCTTTTCTCCTGCTTTCCTCCTCTTTTTTATTAGCTATTGATTTGTTTTAATTTAACAAGGCTATGCAGCTTTTACCATGAACACAATTGTTAATTGCTCTCTTTTTTTCTGCAATGTTGTTTGTGGTTAAAATGGCATGCATTCACACCACCGTGGTGTTTTGAATGAGATTTTTCAGGGTGTTTTCACACTTGCTTTGATTGTTTGGTCTGAAACTGAGCTTATGTCATTAACATGAGTATCACTGTTAATACTAGCGGCATCTGTTTATCACTATATCTAGGTAACAGGAAGAGAAGACGCCAGCTTCTTTGTTTTATTAATGCTTTTATTTTTGTTTTACCAAACCTCAAAGGGGATAGTACACCCAAAAATAAAACTGCATCATCATTTACTCACGCCCATGTTGTTCCAAACCTGTATGACTGACTTCTGTGGAACGTATAGATATTTTGAAGAATGTTGGTAACCAAACCATTTTGGTTACCATTGACTTATGTTATATGGACAAAACACAGATATTTCTCATTTTTCTTTTTTGTTTCATGGAATAAAGCTATACAAGTCATACAGGTTTGGAATGACATGAGGGTGAGTAAATGATGACAGAAGTTTCATTTTTCGGTGAACTCATTTAACACACAGAGAACATCATTAACGTCTGCTGCAAATCTATTGAAAATAATGCATGCAATAATGCATGAAATTTCTGCGACGAAGGTATGAGAAATGCATTATAGGCCTACTATAATGATCAAATTGTTATCATTAGCAGTTCACTAATTCGGCCTGACTGTGATCCATACATGAACCGTAACCCAGACTACAGTTTCAAGCTGACTCAGACACAGTTTGCGGTTTCACACCAGCTAAATGAACTGAATGCTGACGTCAAGTGTACTCAGATTCACACCAAAAGCTCAAGTGTGAAAGCACCCACATAGTTGATTGTTGCATATTTGAAGGAGCCTTTTCTAAAGCATGCTACTTTTCTAAAGTATATACTAATTTGGCACTATTCTAAACTATAATGTTTTCCTCTCTTTTTGTCGTCTTCAATGTGTCTGTCTGACCATTTATGGCTGCTGAATCTCACTCTATGCTCACATTGCTGCCTATGGGGACTTTTTGTGACCTGGACATTTTTACTTTTTTTAAACAAATTGGATTTTCTGTTCTTGACGTGCTAATGGACTCGCCAAATAATCCTACACGTAATGCCACCATGCAGCTAGGAACCTGCAAATCCAGCAAGCCATACATCCAGTAGACCCTCTGGACAACAACTGGACATCTAAACAAGCTGAAGGGCTGGTTGAGGGCCCCTTGCTGTCACCCTTAGGCTCTCAGCCCTCACTGAACAACACCCAGCTCACACAGCCCACCTCCTCCACAGGTAACCCCATGTGGAGGAGTCATGCCTGGGCCCTGTGGTTTTTAGGGGGTAGTAGATGGTGCAGTTTACACCTGATATTAACATGCATCTCATATGTTTTTCTGTGTAATTGTATTGTGGGAGTAAAATATGTTTTTAAAGTTTGTAATCAGTTGATATCATATGCTTAATATGCATGCTCTTCTCCTCTATTTAGATTACTTTTGCCATCATCTGCTGTAGCACTTACGTAAAGTTAATCTTTAAAAACACTAAGTTAATAACACATTTATTTTTCATATTGTACATTATAATCTCATAATGCCTAAATTCCCTAATAGCATTTTTGGGACAAAATGGTACAGAATTTCAAATTTGACATGAAAATAATTATCAGAATCGGACAGAATTTAATAGTAGTGAATTACTCCTAGTATTTTTCGCTGTTCACTTTTAGCTGGATCACTCTAGATGAATGTTGCCAGGTGTAAAGGAGGTTGTTGTGTGTGTGATTTGCATGTGTGATCGCTTTTTGATGTGAATTTCTCAGGTTTCATCTACAGTAGTGTTTTGCTCGCTTATCATACTTTCTGCAGTCTTTCATCTTGCTTTAATACTTTTTCTATATCACACTTTGTCATTGTTGTGACATTATTTTGACCTGTTACGGGTTGAGTTATTTGTTCTCCTATATTTTGTGTGTACTTATGTCTCACTTTATCAACATTCTGGATATTGGGGCATTGCTCACTAAGTATATGCCTCTTTTTCTGTTGATCTCTTTGATTTATTCATGAATGTATGTGTATTTATGTTTTGCTGTGTCTGTGCATTTCATGTACCTGTTCCCATTCTCATTTTCCATTGGTTTAATTGTAGCCCCCTCCCACAAATCCATGCGTCATGAGGCTGTCAGAGCCTGGTTGGACTCGATGTCTGGAGGTAGAGAAGAAAAAGTCCAGCAACTTATATTAGTGCTAATACATACATCAGCGCATGGCAATACTATTGAACACTTAACACCACTGCAATCATTGTTGAACATTGATTGCATGTTGAAACATCACATGCAAAAACAAGTTGACGCTACTGCATGCTGGAGTGGCAAGTGAGACCGTGTCTGGTGTGATAGCTATTATCCTTCAGCTTAATCCAAACACACACTGCATCTGACATGTTTTCTTCTGAAATAATACAAATTATGAAATGTACTTAAAAGTAAAACTATTTTGTCCCAGGATGCATGTGGTGCATCTGTGGAGGATGCAAAGAGCTTGTTGTGACATAATTGCAAAGCACTTCATCTGTACAGCGTAAGGTCACAGAGAGGTCAAAACCAGAAATAACTAAAAACATTTCTGAGTATTTTTGTGGTTCAGAGAGCGGACACGCACAAAACCCTTGAATACAACAGCCTTGAGCATGTCACAGAAGTGCAGGAAAGAAATAGACTGAACATGGTTGCAAACGATTCTGAAGCTGGCAAATAATCTTTGCTGAAGTTCAGAACTTTTGTTCAAATAATACCATTAATGCATGCAAAAAAAAAAAAAGTGGTGGTGTGTGGAAGGGGGTGTCTCAGCTAAATCTCCCTCTTTATTTACTTATGTTTGTAATGTTCAGTTTGGTGTCATTGCGTTTCATTCACAACTCTTTACTCACTCCTTCTCAACAGCTGCTGTTTTTGAGCCCCATCCATTTGACTGTGTGTAAATTGACACTTGCATGTGTTTAACTACTAATACAATTTGTTTATTTCTACATTTTGTCATGTGCACTCATTGTGTGTTTATTTTAATGTTCCCTGAAGACCATCATTTGTTAGCTACATGATTGATTTATTCTGTGCTTGTTCTTTTTTTTGCACACATTCTTCATTCTTTAGCTGTTTTGTGTTGCTAACACCTTCTGCACATGGAAGGTCTTCTAATATTCATGAGCTAATAGTTTTTACCTTTTCTTTTAGACTTTTGACCAACATTTTTCTTCTCCTGTGATCCCAGAGCACTGTGAAGAGGATGATGACCCAGAAGCAGAAGCAGGCAGTCCTGACTTTGAGCCAGGCACTGAAATAGATCAAGGTTTGTCAAATCCATGTGCCATTTTATGATGATATAGCATTATGCCTTCAGAAAGGTTACAGAGTTAACTGTTAGAATTTAATTAATTGAAAACCCCTTCACTATTTTGCTAAATAAAATTAGATTAACAGACTTGACATTTAAAGATCGTCCCTTACTGACAAACATAAGATAAAGTTGTTTTACATAAGTTCGTTACTTTCATTGGTCTTTGAAAGGATTGTGTTGCTTCCCCTTTTTGTAATTTATTTAATTTAATTATTTAAAAAAGGGGAAAGTATAATGGTAACAAGGGCTGACAATGTTTTTTTTTATGATACATTGTCTTAGAATTTAATTAATTGAAAACCCCTTCACTATTTTGCTAAATAAAATTAGATTAACAGACTTGACATTTAAAGATCGTCCCTTACTGACAAACATAAGATAAAGTTGTTTTACATAAGTTAGTTACTTTCATTGGTCTTTGAAAGGATTGTGTTGCTTCCCCTTTTTGTAATTTATTTAATTTAATTATTTAAAAAAGGGGAAAGTATAATGGTAACAAGGGCTGACAATGTTTTTTTTTTTATGATACATTAAATTAATGCAGTCAAAATGCTTGCTTTTAAAATATGTGTTTCTATACAGTTTCTATTGTAGTTTCTATACAGGCTCTCACATTGTTTTAATTTCTTTAATGTCACAGAGGACATTCCCTCAGACGCAGAGGCTGAAGCTCGCTCACATTGCATAGATGAAGTGGTGATGCTTCCAGTGAATAATGGCAAAGCAGAGAGCCATGGACATGTTTCCAACACTGGTAATCATAACCTAATCATAATCATATAAATTCATGCCTTTTCCATTTCGGTTTGAGACTGATGATTGCAAATGTTTATGCACTTGCATAACGTCTCTGAACACATTACATCAATGTCTTGCTTCGTAATTACGCAGGCTTTGATGATTAAAATCACAACACAAGGGATTTTCAATGTCAATCAATATTTGAGCCAGTTTTATTTTTCCTTGCAGAGAAAACATCTGCAAATCCAAGGGAATTTCTTGTGGACTTTGTGCTGTCTCCAATCCAAAAACCTGCTTTACCCATTGAAGAGGTGATACAGGGTTGTGGGATCTAAATTTCTTGGTCTGACTTGTTTGCTTGGTATTTAAAATGACAAAAGCCTCTTCATACTATAAAATTCTACCATTCATTTTCTCTTTCTACAGGTGAAAGACATTTCTCCTGTAATACTAGTTAAATCTCCTGGTGCACGTTTTTTCCCTGAGCCCTATCTATTTGATAATGTCAAACCGAACATTCCCCCGTCTCAGAGTCCTGATGCTAAAAGTCCCCATTCATCGGCTGCTCAAATTGTTGCGCTATCGCCCATCTGCTCCCAACCTGTTCCACAACCACAAACAACATCTCTTAAATCTCCTGTCCAGCCTGAGCCTTGTGCCTGCTCTCCAACAAGTAATCCTTTGTCTCCAATATGTACCCAATCACAACCCTGCAACGAGCCACCCTCACCCCTCTCCACAAGCTCCCCTGTCAGGACTCAGCCAGTCCCAGCTGTCACTTCCACTCCTTTGGCTAAACCTGCTTCTGAGAAGAGAACCAATGAACCCTTGAAAGATTCAGTGCCTGAGGAAACCCCCGTCAAGAAAACGGACCTCATTGAGGAGTTCTGGTTGAAGAGTGCAGAGATCCGAAAGAGTTTAGGACTCTCTCCTCTGGATCGAAGCAAAGCATCAGTGGAAACTCCAACGCCTGAATCATCATCTCCAAAGTCTTACACCCCAGAGGACTTCTCTGAAGAGCAGAAGCCTACTTTCACAGGCCGTTCTATCATACGCAGGATCAACATTACCTTGGAGGGTCAGGTTATATCTCCGGTGGAACCTAAGAGTAATGGTTCTGAGAAGAAGGACTTGAGCAGCAGTTCAGGGTTGGGTCTTAATGGAAGCGTGACTACCAGTCAGACAGTAGCTAGTGACAGCTACAACAACTCTGATTCTACCATGCTTACCCCTCCTTCCAGTCCCCCACCACCTCCACCTAATGAGGAGCCAGCTTCTTTCCAAAACAAAAGGCCTCAGGTGTCCTGGGACAACCTTCTTGAAGCCACAGAGGAGCCTAAACCTGAGACTACACCCCCTAAACCTAAGACTCCAATTAGTCCTCCTCAACCAAAACCAGTTGTGGCTCCAGTTCCAGACCCTGGAACTAACCCTCCTGTTGTTATGAGGGTAAAGGACCCAAATAAACCACGCCGTGAAGTGAGAAAGTCTTTTGTGGAGTGTGTAGACGAGATACCATTTGCTGACGACGTTGAAGACACATACGATGACCGCACTCCGGACACAAGTGGTCTGGAAAAATTTTACACCCCGCCAACCAGCAAGGTCAACCGTGAGAAGCCGCCTTTACACCTGGCACTGGCAATGGAAAATGGCAAGCCCAACATACCTGGTGGAGTTTCCCGGACAGCAAAGGGTCCCCAACATTTTTCTCCTGAAGCCAAGGAGATTGCAGAAGAGCGAATGCGGGCAAGGGAAAAGTCTGTGAGGAGCCAAGCTCTGAAAGACGCCATGTCCAAGCAGCTTACTAAGATGAAAGAATCAGATGCTGCCAAGGGTGCTGTGGCAAAAGTAGCCTGGAATGTTCCTGAGACAACAGGGAAAAACAAAAAGCAATCAAACACACACAAGGACTCTGCAGTGAAGGCTTTGGAGTCCAAAAAGCAGACAGACACACTACCTGACCGTTTCTTCACCACATCGACCAATAAGACCTTGGACAGTTCCGTCACATCTTCAGAAAGCTCAACAGGGGGCAAAAGCAAGAAGCGCAGCTCACTGTTTTCTCCACGCAAGAACAAAAAAGAAAAGAAAGCCAAAAATGAAAGGCTCTCTGGCACAGAAGAGACTCCACCCAAACACAAGTCCCTGTGGAAGGCGGTGTTCTCTGGCTACAAGAAGGACAAAAATAAAAAAGACAACAAGTCATGCCCAAGCACACCCTCCAGCTCTACAACTGAAGACTCAGGGAAGAAGAAAGAATCACCACTGGACAGGTCCTCAGGTCAGTTAGAAATGTTTCATTTGAACAACTCCCCCTTTGTCAGAATTCATCCTTGTCTATGCTAGCTCTGTTCCAAAATCTAGTATGAATCCTAAATAGGCAGCTCCTTTCCAAAACAGCATCAAAACCATCATTGAATTCAATGATTTGACTCTCAAAGGATTCCTGTATAGTCTACTGTTAGCATTAGGGATGCACGATATATCGGCCACCATATCGGTATTGGCCGATAAATACTAATTTTTTTCTGTTATCGGTATCGGCCTGATAAGAAAATTTGGCCGATATCTTAAAGCCGATAAATAATGCATTATTTCCTTCAGAGACACTTCAGATGTGCGCTGTTCGTTTGCAGCCTTTTGTGCAATTGTACGTTGTAATATTGTGTTTATTTGATGTATATCTGATTTATCTCATATAGAATGCGTTTGGTTAAGTTAAAAGAGCGCTTCAGTTTACCGGTGATCGTCTTTAGCTCAGCGCACGCAGCTCAAACAGCAGTGCACAACATTAATAACTATGATTGGGAATGTTGTGTATATAACATTCTAATGAGAACATTATTATAATAAAACGTTGTGCATTCTTTGGGTTTAGTTGCTGTGTTTCAGCGCGTTGATATGGGAAGAGCGCATCCACAAAAGGATCACACATTCTGACTATAGCACGCAATAACTGCATAATTTTGTACATATATAAGTTGTAATATTATGTTTATGTTGTATTAATATTAATCTCAGGATGCATTTCCTTGAGTTAAATAAGCTGCCAGCAAAACGCTTCAGTTTACCATGTTCATTCAGCTCTTCAGCTTCAGCACGCGCAGCTCAACGGCTGCTATTTAAAACAGTGGTATTAATTTGTTTTATTATCAAAAACATTGATACATTATTAATAACAACAACCACTTGTATTTTTCTCTTATTATTTTCATCAACAATATGGTTTAGTAATTAAAATAATTTAATTATTGTCCGTGCAGAGGCTATTCCGTTTTATTGATCTATGGCGCATTCATTTTGATTCTTTACACGTGTAATGATGTCCAGTGACTTGTTTGCATTATTTATGCATTATTTTATTTATTTGTAAGACTTTTTATGACTAAATTTGGTAATGGGAAAGTAAAAATATTTTTAAAACGTACACCGTTCAAACTAGGCTGCTTATGTTGAAGTGTTCGGGATGTGGCTTTTAATGATGAGAACTTTTTTGTAATCAGGCTCTCAAAAAGTATATAACAATTTGGATATAGATTTATCGGCCAACATATCGGTTATCGGCTTTCAAAAATAAAGAATAATCGGTTATCGTATCGGCCAAAATTTTCCAATATTTATATATATATATATATATAGATATTAATACGTCATGGTGTTGCTTGATCAATTTGTTGCTCTATAATCAACATCTTGCCTCATCCACAAATTTGGATTTATTTGTTTCCTGTAGTTGTTGCAGTGCGTTCTGGGTTTCCCTTTTCAACAAAAAGTATATGTGATGCTACCTTATAAATTGGTCAATGCAAGGTATATTAAGAGGCATCATTAAATTGCATACCTTTTGGAGCAGCCTTCATGCCTGGAGCGGACCTGTGAAAATGCTGACCAGTTCTCATTCAGGCTCACTTCAGACCCTCATGGGTTGTGTTAAAATCTTGCAGAATTTTACTGAGTTTATTTTGAGTTACATATGTTTTTTTTAAAGTCTCTTTTAACTGGTGATTTTCTTATGCAAAGTTCTCTCTAATTTACTGATGTAGATTTACGTCTGAGGAGAAATCTCAGCTTTTCTGAGGACTCTGATCTCTCTTTTGATGATGTACTGGAAAGATCCTCTCAGAAGTCCAAGGGTGATGTAAGTATATAATATAAATAGCTTATTTTTTCTCATTTGAGTCAAATGTTTTCTCTCTGCAGAGTCTCCAATTTTAATGAAATCTTTTACTCTTCTCAGCGCCATGTGGACCTGTTTGACTTGGTATCAGATTTGAATAAAGAGGCATTTAAAGAGGAGAAATCCAAAGAGAAGGATAAGGACAGGGCAAAGGAAAAAGGAAAAAGAGTAACAGAGAAGGGCAAGGAAAGGTCAAAAGAGAGGGAGAATGAAAGAAGAGTCAAAGAAAAGATTGTGAAAATGAAGGATGTGGAACAGGAGAAAGGAAAAGAGGAAGAGGTATTTCAGTGATGTATTGCACAGCAGCTAGAAGCTACTGGGTTTCAGACAGAACATGAATGCAACACTATGCCAACAAACCAGTAAATATTTTAGTTAAACAGATTAAAAAAATATTGTACAGCATTGTATTTCATTCGTAACCTGTAAGAAATCAAGTATCTTTAGCCTTGCTGTGTTTGTGTGAAGGTGAATAGAGAGAGATTAGGGCTAGATGTGTAGAAGGACAAAACAAATCATAATCTGGTGTACACCAGAATTCAAAGAAGGAAAAAAAAATATATATATATATAAGTAGGCACTTTTAGAGTGCAGTGTTCATCTGACTTTCATAACTAGCCTAGTTGTGGATATGAAGTTGTGGTCATGACTCAGGTCACAGGTAGTTTGTTTTGTGAGGTTTTTTTTTTTTTTTTTTAGTATTCTCTAGCAAATCTTAATCTAGATTACGTCTAAAAGGTCCAAAATGAACTCTTTGCCACACTTGCCATTGGTGGGTGAAGATTTTTGGCCATAGATTTTTTTTAAAACTTTTTTTTTTTTTTTACTAATTTTGTTGGTTAATGTGATGAATATTTCACATTCTGTCTGTGAAATATTCAGTTTGGTTGGTGGGGGTTAATTTTGGACCCGGAGTTTAATTGTGTTGCACAAAACACGGTCGTATTAATTTGTACTTTTGCACTCATCCCAGTGTCCTTAAATGTTAAGTCTTGTTTTTGTGTGTTGCCATAGAGTCCTGATTTTGTTTAATTGTACATTAACCCATCTAATCACATAATTTTTGTTTTGTTTGTTTTCTTTTTTAATTTATTTTTCTAAGTCTGTTTATGTACCTCATGCATTGGCGTTCAAGAGATCGTATGCCACAAAGGTAGTGTGTTCATTCATTCACATTGGTCTACCCGTTTTACGCATGTCATATCACACCGTCATGCCTAACCCCTGTCTGTTATTGTTGGTCAAAGCATGTTTGCTTTATTGTTTTACTAACCATTTTCTGCAGCATGGTGAAGGCTAAAGCGCCCCCTTTCTGTTGGAGGATGTAACCGTATCACATGACGTTCTTAAAAGGCTTTCTGGCTGCATACTGTTTTCTGTACTGTGTACCTCACTGGTTTACATGCAACTTGTTTTTCTTGTTTCATAGCTTCTAATAGACTTTCTTAAAGCATCTCCAGTTAATATTTTTTCAGTCTATGTCTGTCTTACACTGTTACAATCTATTGGCTCTGTGCAAAATACCAATGAAATACACAAAGAAATATCTATCTATCTATCTATCTATCTATCTATCTATCTATCTATCGTCATAGTCTGCAAATTTAAAGTTTGAGCCAAGTCTTCTTTTTTGTTAGTATTACTGTTTTGAGTCTCTTTTGTACTGATGTCAGGTGTAGTAAATTTATGAATCATGTTTTATTTATATAAGTATTTAATATACTGACGTGTTTAATTATTTGTTGAATTTCCAGCCAAAATACACACACTGTACCATTATTGTGATAAAAAGTTATACTTATGATTATACTTGGCTACTAATGACTTGATTATACTGCTAAAATCGCATCTAAAGGTGCTTTAGAATTGTAAGTCAGAAGTACTTAAGTATGTTGTAGTAGTTACCTAGCTTTGACATTAGGCTCTGTTTTAGACTCTGCTGTAGTCTTCTATTCCACAAACCCCTGCCGTAGACATCTATGAGATGCCAGACAAGGATCCATCTACAACTGACCTGGACACAGGTTACAAGAGCGCTGGATCTGATTTTTAATTTCCTATTGCAGAAAACATACACGGAGGAGGAACTCAATGCCAAGTTAACAAGAAGAGTACAGAAAGCTGCACGGAGGCAGGCCAAGCAAGAGGAGCTCAAGAGACTCCACAGAGCCCAGGTGAAAGCATACTAATGACTTTTTTTTGCATGAGGTTGTCAGAAAGTTAAATTTCAGCCATCGCCATGCAGAAGAAACGAGTTATTCCACAAACCCCTGCCGTAGACATCTATGAGATGCCAGACAAGGATCCATCTACAACTGACCTGGACACAGGTTACAGGAGCGCTGGATCTGATTTTTAATTTCCTATTGCAGAAAACATACACGGAGGAGGAACTCAATGCCAAGTTAACAAGAAGAGTACAGAAAGCTGCACGGAGGCAGGCCAAGCAAGAGGAGCTCAAGAGACTCCACAGAGCCCAGGTGAAAGCATACTAATTACTTTTTTTTGCATGAGGTTGTCAGAAAGTTGAATTTCAGCCATCGCCATGCAGAAGAAACGAGTGAAATTACAAAATTAACTAGAAGCTGCTTTTTGATTCCTCAGATCATCCAGAGGCAGCTAGAGCAGGTGGAAGAGAAACAGAGGCAGTTAGAGGAGAGAGGTGTCGCTGTGGAAAAGGCGTTGCGAGGGGAAGCAGGTATTTCTCTCTTTCAGTCTCACTTCATTCTGAATGTTTCCTCGGATGCGCTGCTGAAGGGTTAAATCCTTGGAGTAGATCTTCATATCTCATGCTTTTCTTTGTAGTGATACTTTGACCTTTAGGTCAGAGCGCTGCATGCTTGCTGTTGTTTCTAAATTCAAGCTTCAAACTACAGTGCAGACTTAAAATGATGTAAAATAATGTTTATGCGATTTTATGAACTTGGATTAGTTAGTATTCTGATGCATAATAATGTGATGCCTTTTTTTTCATATACAAACCTTGCTAGAAGGTTTTATCTCATTACTAAATTTGTGACACCAGCCTCAACATAGACATAACATTAGCATTACATTCAGAGTTCACATGGTTATGGAAATCCTGGAAATGACAGGGAATTGTGATTTCCGGCCCTGGAATAGGCAATGATAATTATTAAAACCTTGAAAGTCATGAAAAAGTCATAGACTTTTTTTTGTAGTGAATATCTTTTTTTCTTGTTATGCTCGGCTCTAAATTATTTATATGCCAAAATTGCTTTTTGAGCTCTCCAGTTGAGCTGCAAGCGAATCTCAAGGCATTTTTTTGTTTTGTTGGACACATTTTTACATTTAAAAAAAATCATTTCAATCTATTAAGTCCAAGGTTTTGTACATGACATAAAGTTGGATCTGCCCCTGCAAACTCTGTAAAATAATTTTAAAAAATCTGTATTTACTAGAAGATCCTTTGAGTATTTTAAGTCTCAAAGTCTTTATTTGAAAATGTAAATATATGTCTATATATTCATATTAGAAATCTCTCTCTCTCTCTCTCTCTCACACATTCCTTTCCTGTGTTGTGGAAGTTGAGCCCTATGTCGGGACCCCTCGCCGAAGAGCCCTGTACCTCTGCCCCTGCTGTGCCCCTGAAGGTAACGTAAACCCCGTCATGTTTTCCGCCAGCCAGCTGTGTTACCATAAAAACATGGCCAGCGGCGTTACTTTGACAACCCACTGGACCTGTGGAGTACTGCTTTTGCCCTTCAACTACAAAGTCCTCTCCCCTGCCCATGTGTGTCCAGGCTTAGTGGATTTCCCCCAGCAGATTGCGTCAGTGCTTCTGATGTACAAATGCAAATTAGTAGCAGGCGAATAACTGGCTGGCTGGACGATATTTTTCAGTCTTTTGCCAATATTCGATTCCGTCTCAATTAATGCTTTTGTTGTGAAATATGTTATGAGAATGATATTTTAATTTAATTAAACTTTTGAGGTGTTTTTTGATATTTAAATATATTTTATTAATATTTTATATAATAATTTATTTTTCAGTATTTGATTCGATTTGGTATCACAAAGTAATTTTTATTTAGTGGCATTTATAATTAAAATCATTCATCTAAAGAAAAAAAAATCCATAATTTCTTAACACAATTTTTGCCAAATCGCTTGTTTGCAAATGGTCCTGGCATTATATTTACTTTCAGTGTTAATGATAGTTTGGAAACTAAAAGTGTTCCAATAAAATGTAGCAGCACAAATCCGAAATGCTTCAACAATCAGTCAGATGTAGTTAGCTGTAATAGATGTTGATAACAGATTTTATTTGATCAATTTATGTAGCTGCCAAGTAGATTCAAAATGTTTTAAGCAAGAAGTAACATTTTCATTTTATTTATATGCACCAAAATAATTCATTGTAATAAACAGGAATGCTATGTATTACATTTTAAAACATGTAGTGTGCCATGCAAGGATTTTCATGAACATCTGCCCCACATTGACTGATGAATTAAATCAGGAATTTTTAAAGAATTAATTCGGGAGAATTTTTGTTAAAGAGATTAGATGTTATTAAAATTCTATATCACCAACAAAAAATCGAATATGTGGTAAATGTTTGGTATATTGCCCAGCCCTCAGCAGTAGCAGCTTAAGTTAGGCCCATATTTAGGTTCCCTAATTGATCAAGGTTCTACTTTTATTTTATATACACTTTAGACTTTCTAAAGAGGATGAGCATAAATGCGGTATTAATTAGTACATTAGAGCAGACCTAATATGATGACACCGATCATTAGTGTCTATTTTGGGGGAAACTGCTCTGCTGACTTTTTTATCTAGTGTTTCTTAATCTCTTTTTATCCTTTACTCTCTCTAAGGGTTGTATAAAGGTTCTAGTGTTAGTCCAAAACAGCGTAAGAGGCGCTCAGGTATCCATGGTGATAACTCTAATAGTTGTTGTAGTCGTCTCAGCGTATCATGCCATTCTCATGCCGAACATCGTCTCTCCTCACGTGTGTCTCAACTGCATGCCCCGTCAGTCCGGTCATGCCAAACATAGATTTGTATGCTGCCTCACTGGATGTGAGCCCCTATTATTGATAAATAGGCTGTTTCTTCGGTTTTGAATCTATATCATTCCGTTTTGTGGATCCTAAAGCACCTTTTTCTAAGTTGTGAGTTGTCTGGTAAATGCTATATTCATGTTTTGTTGTTCAGCATAACATATATTCACAAGCTGTACAGGGTTAAAATGCCTGATATACATTGAATAACAGGAGTTTTAGATAGATTCTAGATAGATAGATAGATAGGTGTTTAATCAAAACGAGGGTTTTAGATACAAAAACGTATTCGCACTCCAGAGTCTCCCTTGTGGCAGAACACAGCAGTGTAACAAATCTATGTGCTCATCTACCATTACAGGACATGCACTATAAAAGCAAGTTACTACATGTGTTTACATGCCAAATAACAAATGTGATATGTGTGTATTTAGCATACCTTTACTGTGTGAGCGTGTGTGTGTTTGTGTGCAACATATGCATGACTTGAAGCTACTTGGCTGTGCCTGTGTGTGCAGTAACATGTTTCTAATATATCCTTATTATAGACTATTGGGGAGAGTCTAATTACAGTGAGATCCTGGATTTGCATCTGGGCGGTATGTATTTCAAATCTGTTGCTTGAAATGGACTAACATCTGACGCCCTCTTTTCCCCCTGTACTTACTGAGTCTTCCCTCTGCCTAAATTTTCCCTGTCATTTTACCCTGCAAAAATGTAATGTTAATTCACTTAATGTAATTTAGATATTATAGGAAATGTTTATATTAAATAGTATTTTCTTATTTTATTTCGATTTATTTTGTATTTATATTTTAATCATGAATTATTATTAGTTATTATATATATTTTATTATATATAGATATATAATAAAATGAGTATTCATGTAAACAGTCGATTTATACTAAACATTGTCGGTATACAGGCTATTAAGTTAATGTAAACAAACAGTTGAGAAACAAAACTTGTGTAAAAGTTTGATCCGTGTATTTAGTGTCTATTTTGGGGGAAACTGCTCTGCTGACTGTAAGTGTGAATTTAAATAACAGCATGATTGTCATCTGCTCTTACCAAGTTCTAAAACTGTCAGTGTTTTACGTGTCCCAACCTCACAGCTCCTTTACAGAGCTGTATCGTGGTAATCCATAGAATATATATTCACTGTGTGTCCATATGTTTCCATAACACTGATGATTTGTTTTGAAGGATAGTATGTGTAAGGGGAACACTATAGGAAAGTGAGGTCTCCAAACTTGGTAGTCATTTTTATGTCTTTGTCTTACCATTACATTCAAATTTAAAGTCAACACGAAATCAATACAGACTCTGACATTTTATTTTATTTTTATTTATTTATTTTTTCCCTCTGACTCCTGGTGTTAATGTGTATGTTATCCCAAATAATTAATTAATTAATTTATTTTTTCATCAGAATAATAACTTTTTCGGATATCATAATTTGGCAATTAGGCAAATTACTATATATACAGTGGGGCAAAAAAGTATTTAGCCAGCCACCAATTGTGCAAGTTCTCCCACTTAAAAAGATGAGAGAGGCCTGTAATTTTCATCATAGGTATACCTCAACTATGAGAGACAAAATGAGAAAAAAAAATCCAGAAAATCACATTGTAGGATTTTTAAAGAATTAATTGGTAAATTCCTCGGTAAAATAAGTATTTGGTTTTTTTTTTCCCACTGTATATATATATATATATATATATATATATATATATATATATATAAACAGCCACCTCACACCCAAGCGCATATAGAGACGCATCTGAGAACGCGCGCCTTTGCGCGTAAACGGCCAAATACATACAAAAATATGTCAAAGTGAGTAGTAACAGAATATGTTAACATGCTTTAATGTTCAAAAAACACATTATCGGAAAAGCACTCGTCGGAAATGTAACACCCCTTACCATTATCGCGAGCGTCATCTTTCAAAATAAATGCAAAGACAGTAAATAATGTCATTAGTTTTACCATCAATTCAAGCCCGAAAGGGGAACAGAGTCGTGTGACAGACACCGTGATGAAGCTGGTATGTGTTTGCAGTACACAAGCCACGGTTAAGACAGCTGACTCCACTGTGATGTGACCCCCCCCCTCTCTCTCTCCCTCGCTCGCTCTCTCTCGCGCTCTCTCTCTTTCACACACACACACACATGATGCGCAAAACTCCGCATTTGAACAGTCAATAGCAA